GGGTTGGTTAGCTCAGTGATAGATGCACTTTTTTGTGAAATCCATGTCAAATTGTGTTTTAAGAGCCTGGTAACCCAGTTTTATTAAAACGGATTGAAGTAAAGTCCACAAACATGCCCATGCAGGAGTTTCGGTGTTGCACACATCATAAATAGGTAACATAAAAGACAAAAGACACCTGGCTCTCACTTCAGCACTACCTCTGCACTTTACATTGGTCATCCAGGCCACGGGTTCTTTAGGCTCATTTAGCTTTGGCCAGAGCACCTTGCTGAACAGGTCTATGCCTAGTCTATGGGTAGGTTCTCCCGAAACCCCAGACTTTCTCACTCTTGTGAGACTCACAGATTCCTTCCATCCCCTGGACTCTCTCCTAGTTGTCTCAGCTATCTTAGTCACCCAGACTTTCTTAGTTGTCCAAACCCTCTCAGTCCCATGGACATGGAATCTCTCCCACATAAAGTACTGTCTCAAATAGATTGCCTCTGTCACCAGACAGGAACACACACCTGCCTTCTAGCTGGAGCCCTGAAATTTTCTCAGTCCTTCATTATAAAGGCTATGTGTACCTGGACACACACTCTGCTGGTCTGTTATCTGTTCACTGAGCACACTCTGCCAAATGAATGGTCTATGCAAGATGAAATTTAAGGTAGAAAAATAAAAATCAATGTCAATGATTGCTTTTCATTTAATATTCGTGCACCTGGAAGTGTGTGGGAGGTAGGAGGGTACATGATGCAGGGTGTGTGCTAATGAGGTCAGCTGGTCAACTCATTCCTGTGTCATGACCTAAAGTCTCTGCAGGAAATAAGGAAGAAGTAAAGGTGGGTAAAAAAAATGGAAAGTTTTTGAATTTTTACAAAAGAAGTAGATTAATGCCATATTGGTACACAGGGAAGCTGGAATTTAGAAAAAAAAGGGTGAACTCGTCCTTTAACCTCCTCGGCGGTATGATTCTTTCCGATTTTTTGTGCTGAAAGCGGTACCATTTTTTTGCATGGAAATATGTAGTTTTTTTTATTGCAGGCTGTAATTTTTAGGAATAACTCACTGAAATCTGTACGAATAAGAGTCTAGTAAACATTCCAGATATGATAAAACTTGAAACACGAAATCATAAATTATAATTTAATAAATAATCATAAAAAATAATAATAATATAATAATAATAAATTTAATTCAATAATATATTCAAACCAAAAACACTGAAATTTGAAATACAGAGGCAAATCCGCACATCGCTAAGCAAAGTCGCAAAATCGTTTTCAGTGTCTGATGACGAATTTCCCCACGAATCATTATCACTCAATTCTGCAAGGGGTTCGGATTTACTATCGCTGTTCTAAAACCGCTTTTGACGTAAAGGGACGATTTTTTGGACGCCATGGACTTTTCTAAGTTTCCAGGCAGAAAGAACAGTCGAAATGCAGGCAGGGCACAGGACAAAGCAGTAGGGACAAAATGTATGTGAAATTCATTGAAACAGCAATGACAGCAAAAATTACATTTTTTTTTTTAAAATTTCAAATTTCCCACCGGTTCCGGCGCCCGTACGTCCCGACGTCACAGGGACCGGAACACGGAAGCCGGATGCCGGCATCGGCCGGAGGAGATGGCCGGGGACGCTGCAGGGGACACATCGCGGGAGCAAAGGACAAGGTAAGTGCTGCAGGGACCCCCAGAGCAGCGCCGCATGGTAAGCCCGAGTGTAGCTCGGGGTTACCGCTCTTGGTATTGAAATTTTACCCCGAGCTACACTCAGGAAAACCGCTAAGGAGGTTAAGGAAACACAACTGTATAAATTCTCAATTCACAATAAAATGAACATTAACCATGACTATGTATTGTATTATATTTTTACACAATAAGTGTAATAGCACACTCCCCGTCTGTTATTGTACAATACCACTACATTATAACATAACAGTAGTTATGCAAGTGCAAATAAACAACAGTGCAATTTGTAGTTGCCTTGAAGACCTCAAACACAAAAGAAAAAACATACATATGTATGCAACAACAAAAACTGCAATATAAAGCATCAAGTAGTGTCCATTAACCACTTGCCCTCCAGAGGATTTACCTCCCTTCCTTACCAGGCCATTTTTTGCAATACGGCGCTGCGTTACTTTTACTGATGACTGCGTGGTCATGCAATGCTGCACCCAAATGAAATTTATGTCCTTTTTTCCCCACAAATAGAGCTTTCTTTTGGTGGTATTTGATTGCCTCTGTGTTTTTTATTATTTTTTTGCACCAAAAAAATAAGACCGCCAATATTGAGAAAAAATTATTTTGAGATTAAGCATGTCCTGTAAAAAAAAAATAAAAAAATAAAATTTCGGCATTAAATTTAGGCCAAAATGTATTCTGCGATATGTCTTTGTTAAAAAAAAAATCCCAAGATTTGTAAATTAATTAGTTCACATGAAAGTTATAGCTTTTACAAATGGCGGTATAGATACTGTTTTTTTTTACTAGTAATGGTATCGATCAGCAATTATAGCGGGACTGCAGTGGGAATTCTGAATGAGGAAAGAACACACAGAGGGCACAGAGGCCTAGTGCATTACCATAAAAAATGTTTAATAAGAAATAAAGTAGGTGTTGTAGTCACAAACGACAATAAAGTCAAGGCATGTCATAAAAAAACAGCTTGGTCAACAGCACGCTGAGTAACAGTCCGCAATAAGGAGTGTAGACATCCAATAGGCTGATGCGTTTCGAGGACTTGCCTCTTCCTCAGAGCCAACTGATCAAATGTCTGCTCCCTCTTTTATATGCTCACTACTAGTTGAACCAAAGGTCACATGGGCCATCCTGGACACTCCTCTATGCAGGGGGAGGGGTCACAGAGGTAATTGACATAGTATAAGTAAACACAAAAGATCTATAAAAATATATAAATATATATGTATAAATAAAATCACTGAAACTAGTGACAATCATACAATCATAAGAACCATAAGAAGTGTGCAAATAATAATAATAAAAAAATATATATATACATATATATATTAAAAATCCTTCCCTGGTGATACACTGCACCGCTCGCATTTAAATAAATGAATGGATGAACGACACTACGATGCTACCTAGTGCTCTGTTTGCCATAGACAGCCATGTTACATGGATTTAATGAAGAGAGTAGATCTGGGACCCAGCAGTGACACTTATTAATTCATAGAAATGCAGCCTACAGGGTGTGTACTATTATTCTAATACAGTGATATGTGGTGAAACTTAAGCATGTGTGGCAATGCAGTGCGCCAAGGATGGATGTACATATGCAATACTATATACAGGGACAAAGGAGATAAACCGCTAGTATAAACCTAACTGTTAATATAAAACGTTGCAAAAAACTTCTTAATATGGTTTACAAAGTTTAAATAAAATAAAATGAAATAAGTATTGTTACAATATAATATCTGGTAAAATTGGTATAATGTATGGTATACGTGTTTATGCATAAACAGGGAAGCATAAGAAATATAAAATATATAATAAATAAATAAAACAATTAAAAAATGTGTAAAAGATATATATGTGTGTTATATATAAGAATTATATATGGATGTCAAAGGTGTTATGGAACAAGCACCTGCATGACGAGAAAGCAGTGCCCGGAGAGAGCTCACTGGACCACATGCATGCGCACATGTGTGTGTGTAACACGTCCATATGAGTAACTGCTTTCTTGTTAAAAAACATGTATATACATACATACATACATACATACATACACATACAGACACATATATGGAAATTGAATGAAAAAATGGGTGACGAATGAATGACCCATAGGCACAAGCGCCTGTGAATGCGGTCGAGCGCATGCGCCTAAGGGTCACATAATAAGTGTGAAGTGAGCAACCTAATGTGTAAGGCTGCAGGGTATTGGTATCTATACTGATGATAATATAGTAATCATAGCTGATGAAAATTAATATATCTAAAGCATACATCTGTAGTGGATGGTGTGTACCCACTATAGGTCACGAGGTAAAGGATGGAACTAGCAATAAAGGGAGGGAGAGAGAAAAAAAAAGGGGGGGGGGTTGGAGAGAGACAAAAAGGATGAGAGTAGGACTATAAGGAACATGTACAGCTCAGCAGAAGGTTCCTATGCATAACAGGGGATCAGTGAATGACCCCATGTATCTCAATATCTTCATTAAGCCCAGTGCGTGAGAGGGAACCCAGAGTAAAGATCCAATAGGTCTCCCTCTTGCATAGTTCTGGAATTTTCTTCCACCATCTGAATCTCCTGTGATGGATTCAATCCCAAAGACTTTCATGCCTGATGATGGATCACCACTGTGTGCCTCCCGAAAGTGCCGTGGTACAGAATATTTGTATTTGCCTTTATTGCTCTTCGTGTGATTAATGATGTTACATTTGTGTTCGCCAAACCTGACCCTCAAGGGACGCATGGTTCTGCCAACATATAGGAGGCCACAGGGGCAGATGAGCCCATAGATCACAAAGGAAGTGCCACAGTTGATAAACTGCTTAATCTTATATGTACTGCCATTGGTGCCAGCCACCTCTTTCTTTCTGTGGCACATGTATTTGCAGGTTCCACAATTGCTCACACCGCATTTAAAACTGCCCCTTTGATCAAACAAGTATTGACCGTATTGCTGGCACCAGCAAGAGGCTTCTTTATTCTACTGGGTGCTATGTGACTCCTGTTTGTTCTTTCCTCATTCAGTATATTTGGATTTCCCCAGTCTATTGAGGGCAGCAAGGTGTGCATGTTCCAGGACATTCTTAATGTGATTGTAGCCCGCATCAAGTCCATCCTCAAGCGCAGGAGCATTTGTGTTTTCTGGTGGGAATTCTAACACTGGGGGGGGGACGAACGACGACGACTGACTAACTGTCAATTAAATCCCCAGTGACACCAATACAGTGATAAGTGCTAATAAAAAGCACTGACACTGTTCTAATGACACTGGGCAGGAAGAGGTTAACATCTGGGGCGATCAAAGGGTTAACTGTGTGCTGTGTGTGTTCTTTACACTGTAAGCACACTGCTTTGTATGGCTGTGCTATGCAGAGCTATACAAAGCAATGTGCAGGAGCTGACAGGGATGAGAACTGTATTGTTTCCAACCCAGAAAAAAAAAACAGAAAGAAACCACCAAAAGAAAGCTCTATCTGTCTCAAAAACATTTAATTTGTGTACAGTGTTGCATGACTGTGTAATTGTCATTTAAAGTGTGAGAGCACTGAAATCTGAAATTTTAAAGTGTCAGGTATTGAGGTGGTTTAGGGAATCCATTGGATGCCACCAGATCTAGTGTGCCCATTGGAAGATTCCCATCTATTTGCTGGAGAAAATCCAAAATGTAGATTTTTCTTCTACTTTCACTTTCAATGTTAATGATAAACAGAACAAATAGTGAAGATGAATCTCCCAAACACAGACAACAATGAAAAAAAACAAACTAATAGGTGCTCTAATCCATCTCCACTCTGTCCAAAACTAAAAAAAAAAAGTTTTACCTTTAGTTATACCTTAAATGTTCAAATAGGTATTTTAGCCTTTCTACTGCATGCTTTATACATCCCAGCAAAACTGTTAATAACTTTAATGCAAAGTGGTTTTAATGTGGCATTCCCTGCATTAAGGTAAAACATTTAGCTACCTTTTCTTTTTTTTAATCCAAACAACCTTTTATTGTCAAAGAAAAATGGGAACAATGCTTACAGGATCTTGAAGACATGAAGATACAATCAGAATAGTATACAGTGTTAAACCTTGGATGTGCGGATCCAGTGACATATGAAAACCAGAAGCATTAACCAGCCATAGCATGATATATAAGGAGCCATTACTACCTTGACAATACATAACATAAAAACCATGAACAAATGAATAGTTCACCTGGGCCACTGTGCAAAGGTCTATGGTTATACGCGATCACTTCTTGAGGGATATATGGTATTATTTGCGTTAGAGTAGGGTATCACACCTGCAAGAGCCTGTCTACTAACAAATGAGAAGGGGCAAGCCCAGGTACATCTAGCCAGCCTTGCCACACAATCTGAAATTTACGGTGGACATTATGGTGTTGGTGCATGAGTTTTTCTCGTAAGAGTAGTGAATTAACATAGACTATACCTTGCTTTTTAGTTGGTGGGACAGAAGACAGCCATTGCCTAGTACTTAATTAATTTTCTAGCAGGTATAGTAGCCTAGAAACCATGGTATACATTCTGGGTTGTAGTGTCTCCTGATCCAAAGCACCCAACAGACAAGTTAAGGGATCCTGGGAAACAATATATTGTGATACTAGGGAAATGGTCTTGAGGACCTCCCTCCAGTACCTGTACAGTTTTGGGCAACACCAAAGCATATGGATAAAGTCTCCCCGGTGCACCCTGCATCTCGGGCAATCAGAGGAGTCCCTCCTGCCCCACTGGTGTAGTTGCACAGGGGTCCTATAAGTTCAATGGAGAATAAATAATTGTGATAATTTGTGTGAGGGAGAGAGAGATTACCGGCACAGACTCCAGGGCAGCATGCCTGGTGTCTCCTGCAATATCTTGGGTCCTACCTAGCCAATAATTGTGAATAGATATGAGAAATCATGCCCTTTTTATGTGTCGCATGAGTAACATCTTAAAGCAGAGTGGATTCTGTCAATGTGAATTTGAAGAGAAGAAATTGGGCCTGCAAAGTGTGGTGTACCTGGAGGTACTGGTAAAATTTCTAAGCCCCACCCAGGGGCGGACTGACCATTTGGAAACTCGGGCACTGCCCGAGGGCCAGGGGTCAGTAGGGGGCCCCATGAGATGCCCCTGATACCTTTTTCATAGGCTTTTTTGAGTTTGGGCAAGGACACAGGGGCCCCATGATCCCCTATTGCCCCGGGGGCCCCATGAGTTGTCAGTCCGCCCCTGGCCCCACCCTTAAACACTTACCTGTTTCTTCTGATCAATCCAGCCCTGTGCCCGGCTGCAGGTCTTCTCCTTTACTTTTTACTCTCACAGGAGACTCAGCAACAGGAGCCAATGGCTCTTTCTGCTGCCTGTCAGTAAAATCATGTGAGGAGGGAGCAGGGTGTGTGACTGAGCCACGCCATGTGCATCTATGATTGCACACAGGCTCAGGAAAACACTGCAGCAGTGCCCCATAGCACACGGCTGTCTATGGGGGCACTTGGAAGAAGAAATAGTGGAGAGCGCTGAAGAGAGACTACTAAAGAAGAGGTAAAGGGCCGCTCTGTGGAATACCATTGCACAGAGCAGGTAAGTATAACATCTTTTTATATTTTAATAAAAAAATTGTGACTTTAATATCACATCTGACCATTGGTGAAGTTTAAATAAAGACAATAGGGGATGCGTACCAGGTGCCATTTGCAGTTATATATCATCATTTGTGCCAGTATATCACATACTCAAAAAGAAAACTAAGTACATATTTCATGACAAAAACCTGTAAGAGTTTAGGAATTTGGCAAGTTTATCTACAGTAATTTTTTTGGGACTTTAGGCTGAGGGGGAGGGCATTACTGGTGATTAATATATAACTTTAACATTAATTATGTCTTGTGAGCCACTTTTTAATATAAAACTTGATTTTGTTACAACTTTATTAAAGTGCTGATTTCAGCATGAGCTCATGAAACTGAATCATGGTTCATTTTGTGAAATTATTTTTGTCATCCAGTCAAGATTTCAGGCTGAGGTCATTGCAATTCTTTTTTTCATCTTGGCTACTGTAAATGTAGTGACACAATGTGTGTGGTTCTTAATTTCAGCACCTGGTGCTAAGAAATTGTTTTTTATTGATATAATTACATTAGAAGTCATAGCAAATAAGTTTTTCATCTGTAGCAATTCTTACCCTTAACCAAGGTGTCTTATCTTTTACACTATAGTTCTGAAGTCAATGTTTTCACTGTATCATATGATAAATGTAGCGCTACCCCTGCAGGAGCTGCTTGTTAAATTGGGTTCTCTGTTCTTCTGCTCCAACTCTCAGAGCAACCTCAATCCCACTGACACACCAAGTTAAGCAAATGGATACTGTGCTGCTATTGGGAGCACAAATTTAGATATCCTACACACACGTAAGGTTTGGTATCAAAAAGCAAACACCAGACTGGTTAGCGGTAAATGAACTCAATATATTGTCAAGGGTTGCAACAAATAGCAATATGCACATAAATGAGTACATAAAGGATTCATACAGTTCACTAGACAATATGTTAATTAGGCTATAGCAGCCTAGAATGGAGTTCTATACAGATACATTAAAGTACAACCCCAATTCCAAACAAGTCACCAAGTTGGGATGCTGTGTAAAATCTACATAAAAACATAATGCAATGATTCACAAAAAATGTCTTTATGTATATATTTTACAACATCCTAACTTTTGGAGTTGGGGTTGTAAACCTTGTAATCCACGAAATCAGCAATAAGCAATTGCATAAATAAACAGTAACAGTGATGATAAACAATACTTTGATCATTCCTGTGTGAACAGTAGGCTATATCCATTTTAGAGTGCATTCTGTATGAATGGCAGAAATTAAATTTAAAACTATCTAAAGAGATACCTCTTACTATGGACAGTAGGCAATGTTCTTGTGAAGCAGCTGAGTGAGCAGTCTGTAGCCCTAGTTCTTTAATAAGCTAGCAGTGGGGCCCTGTCTTTATGTTGGTGCATGTGAGTAAAGTGTATGTAAAGTCTGCATGCAGTAAAAACTGTTGCTAGCTAGATGACCAGTTCCTATGTGCTCAGTCTCTGCTAGCAGCAACAGGTTAATGGCAACAGTGTCCTCTCACCTAGACCCAGAGATACAGCAAGAGGGTTCCTACTCCTCAGATGTCAGCTCATCTCTTGATATAAAAAATGTGAATAGGTAGGCGCTAAACCAACCGTGCAACATAGTTAAAAGTGCAAAAGCAAACCATCTCTCTACATCTTATAACTATGCCAATAACAAATCGAATGTGATAATACATACTTCCTATGACATCTAGCCAATAACATACATTTCAACATACAGTGTATATATATACTGTGTATATATATATATATATACAGTATATATAAAAAATATATTGTTAGATATATTCAATATGGTCAAAATTGTAGTATTTCAAATACATGTCAATATATTGGGAGGAATATTTTTTAAAATATATTTAAAATATATTTTTCTTCCATGTAGGAAGGGATGCTACTCAGAGGAAGGTAGGGGGCGGAGACAAGGGGGGAACTCAGAAAAGGGGAATTCCTGCACCTATTCTTAGAAAAAAGACTAATGAGAAATCAGCTTCCCATAACAAAAGAGAACTAAGTAGATTTTTTCCTTCTGGAAACTCCAGAAAAGAGCATCTAAAAAACGGTAAGATACAATATCTTTTTTATTTCTAAGTTATGCTATGTGCATGGGGACATGTGACAAATTTAAATAACGTATTATCCCAATTTCACTACAAAAGTAGACATTCTCTTAGGGGGGGAAGTAGATTATGTGAGACGTGGATAAATACAGATGCTTTTATTGCTGCCATGGCACCTGGGAAATCCAGGAAATAACTGGTGCAAGTCTGCTATACAAATCTGTTTGTAGGATGCTTGGATGTTTTTACAGCAGAATTTATTCCTCCAGAGGGAAGGACAGGATGGGCTGAGCGATGGGCAAAAACTTCCCGAACACCATACAACAACCATTTGTCCATGTGCCTAGAGAAAATCATAAGCCACGCTGTGAACTCTTCTAATAAACTTTATTCAGTCATTGAATCATGGACAGCCAATCTGGGCTCCTCCCTATTTCACCCACAAAGCTATTGTTAGACTCTACGAATAAACTGGTTGTGAGTCAAATGTTGGTCTGGTTCATATAGTTACATAGTTACATAGTTAATCTGGCTGAAAAAAGACAAAAGTCCATCCAGTACAACCATTAAAAAAAAAAAAGTTATAATCCTACACCCACAGTTGATCCAGAGGAAGGCAAAAAAAAACCAGCAAGGCATAATCCAATTTGCTCCTGCAGGGGAAAAAATTCCCTCCTGATCCCCTGAGAGGCAATCGGATATTCCCTGGATCAACTTTACCTATACATTTTAGTATCCAGT